AAAGGGGGAAAAGAGAAAGTGGGGTGGCACATCCAAAGATTGACTGAGAAACTTACTCTGGCGACCTAGCTGCTGTTCCAAGCTGACTGCTAAAAGCTTACCATTGCGTGGCGTGGCTACTGACCGTTGAAACGCATTGTTGTTTCACATTGATTGACTGTTGAAACCCCTTAGCGCGTGAATTGGCGGAATTATAAATTGATTGTAGGAACGTACTAGTGAGCGGCAGTTGAATCACCTTGTTGGTCGAAGCTTCTCGGGAGCGTGACAGGGCGCCCCTGATTTAATGCCTGCTGGTCGCTGAGGACCTCGGAAGCGGGCGCGGCGAGTGACAGGCGCCGTAGCCCTTGACTTCAGCGAACAGTAGGCGCCCCTCCCCGGGTTTCCTCACAACTCTGGCGCCGTTGCCGGGGAGGGGATTGCACCCCCAAGGCCGCGGCCTTCCCCGACCAACGGGGGGTGCACGGGCTGATGAGTACATGCACTAATTAGCTCATTTCCTTGATTAGTTTCATTTTTTGATATCTTTTTGAATTCGTTTTTTTTTTTTTTTTTTTATATCTCCCGATCCGCGCGTTTTTGCGCAAGGCGCACCGGGAGCAAAGTTCGACCTCTCGTCGAGGCGAACGTTTTGAGATGTTTTTTGAGAAATTCTAACGGCTAGAAAAAAAGATATGGAATTTTTTGTATTTTATAATTAACAACCCCTAAAATCATGAGTCCAAATATTTAATTCGTTTTTTTTCGATATCTCCCGATCCGCGCGTTTTTACGCGAGGCGCACTGGGAGCAAAGTTCGACCTCTCGTCGAGGCGAACGTTTTGAGACGTTTTTTGAGAAATTCTAACAGCTAGAAAAAAAAAGATATGAAATTTTTTGTATTTTCTAATTAAAAGCCCTTAAAATCAATAGTCTAAATATTTAATTCGTTTTTTTTCGATATCTTCCGATCCGCGCGTTTTTGCGCGAGGAGCACTGGGAGCAAAGTTCGACCTCTCGTCGAGGTGAACATTTTGAGACGTTTTTTGAGAAATTTTAACAGCTAGAAAAAGAGATATGGAATTTTTTGTATTTTTCTAATTGAAATTCTAAAAATTATGAATTCTTTTTATTTTAATTACGAAGAAACGGAGTGAAGTTAGGTAAACCCCGCCCAGACAAAAGTTGGTCTTTGTATTTTTTCCGACATTTTGAGACCTTAGTCGGGGAAAACGGACTCCGTTTGGACGAGTAGTGACCGCCAACAGACAGGAAAAGAGGGGAAAATTAAAAGGAAATAGTGATTTTCTTTGTATTTTATAAAAATAAAACGGAAACAGAAGTCTGCGGCAAAAGTGATCCGAGGGAACCCGGCTTTTAATTGACTACAGACCGACGGAAAATTTTATGTCTCGAGGAGTTGTACGAGGTGGCGTGCGGTGACGCGCAAAACCCTAAAACCCTAATTGGGGGAAACCCTAATTAGGGTAAAACCCTAACCCTAAGTTAGGGAAGGGCGGTGCGTAGCCGGGCGGATAGAAGTCTTTCTATCCGACCCGTGATGAGAAAATTTTGTATAAATCCAGTTGACCAAATTGAAATTAATCAATATTGGGAATTTTGTTTTATTAAATAATTTAAGTTGTAAATTTGTTATAAGTAATAATTTGTCATTTAAAATTAATTTAAAATCAAGATAATTATCTAAAATTCTACAAGAAAGAGGAGTTGACTTTATTTCGACTTTGTGATTCGGGTGATACTTCACTCAACCCCATCCCAACGGGGGGGAGCCAAGTGCTGCAGAAATTACTCGGAAATTTGCTGAATATTATTCAATTAAATCTTAAATAATTAAAGAAAGTACTTAAAAATTTAGCTAAAAATTTCTTGTTAAACATTTTTCGACCGCATTTTTGAGGTCTTCGGCCAAACCCTACCCCAACGGGGGGGGGAACCAAAATGTAGCCGAAACTTTGCAAAATTGCCTAATTTAATTCCTTTATATATATATATATATATATATATATATATATATATATATATATATATATATATATATATATATATATATATATATATATATATATTGAAAACGATTAGGGAAATTAATTAAAAATACGTTAAAAATTGGTTTCCTTAAGCGATTTTCCTCATATTTCATTTGACTTTAGTTCTGGGTAGGTAGCATTTGTCTAGGGGCAATAGTCCCGAACCCCATCCCAACGGGGGGAGGCGAAACGCTGCCGAAATTTTAGTAAATTCGCGAAATTTTATTTCTACCCCTAAAAAAAAAAAGCATCAAACTCGGCGGGGCTTATATAAGTATTGATCCTTAATATATATGGACTAAGAAAGAAAATTTAACTTAACTAAATACATTTTTTTTAATTTATAATTTAAAAAAAGATATACAAAAGAATTCCCTAGAAGGAAAAGGGAAAGAGACGTTGCGGTAACCCGGTTTCAGGTGAACCAACTAGCTTGTTCTCGAAGGCGTGAGAAAAGCGACGCGAAATTTCAGTCGTTAATCTACACCTTCCGCGTGCCGCGCTCTCTCTAGCCGCCAGATGTGTGGCTTTGGACATACAGAGAACACCGGTCGGGGCAAGGAGTGGGCGTAGTGAGAGCCTACTTATATTAGGGGCCGGGTGCGGTCAGGGAGGCCGTGGTGGGCCTCTCGACGACAGGAAGTAGTGATGCAGTTAGCAGGGCGCTACGCTACCTAGGGGAAGAGGTAGCTGCTTTCCGAGCGGAGGACGCGAGCGACCCGTTGACCCTATTTCACGGGCGCCCTCCTCTTGATATCACGGGCGAGCTCGTAATAGCACGGAACGGGTTTTTCCCGTACAACGTTAGGAGCTTGCGGGCGATAGTTCCGACGTTCGTAGTAGAGAGCATCTTTGGAAATATTGGTGGAGTGGTCGAGACATACCTGGCCTATCAGGATCTCAAGATCCTGGCGAGAAGACCTGCCGACCTGGACTATATCTATTACTCGCTCGCGACTGGTGGGCCTCGTTGGGGAGACGAGAGGGTTCAGCTTATAGAGCTGATCCGCTCGATAGACGACGAGTGGCCCCAGCCTCCGTGTGTTTGGGAATGGCTGGACCGTGAGCTCCGAGCAGGCCCCGAGTACGTGACCTGCATCGGGCGGCTATTCTCAGACGACTGGGGGAGCTGGTGGAGTGAGGACGTCGGGCGACACCTGGTATACGGGCATCAGTTGACGGAATACTACCAGGCCATAGGACAGGCGCCATACCTCGTCGAGGACGAGTTTGACGTCCCAAACCTAGCCAATGTTTCCTGATCAACACTTCCCAAGAGTTCCTGAGCGTCTCTCTCCGTCCTCCTAGCTAGTTCCCCTAGCTTAGTCTGAATCGGTTAGCCCGCTAAAGGCCCTCCTACTGTCGCCCAATGTCGCCGATCGACCTTTATAGTTTCCTCTATACTTCCAAGAGCTTCCAATTTCTATTTCCTCTACCTTATGTCCTCAACAGTTACGAGGTCATCTGTCTAACAGCTGAGGTAAGTTAGTGCTATAACGACCTGTAGCCTCATCGCCGACCGCTCCAATATATCATAAAATGTCTCAAAGTCCTCCCTATCTCCCCCTTCGTCTATCGCTTCTAACACCCCATCTCTTGACGTTGCTGACTCTTCTGACAACTCTCGCACTCAGGTCCAGTATGGTCGAATAGGTTCAGTAGCCAGGTTCACTCAACCGTCGCCCTGGTGTGTTCCTCTATCTCCTACGCCCTGACCGCTACTCCTATCCTGGGAAAATGGGCGTCTATAACGTCAATCTCCTCCTCGGATCCGTCTCAAGGATAGAGGTCCGGCCACGGGCGTACTGTGGATCCGGACAGGCACGCCCTTGTTGACCGAACCCGAAGGAGAGGTTACTTAGACATAGAGATTCTTGAGATAGAAAGAGAACACGAGATCTGCGACCGGTACGAGATACTGGAGGTGGTAAACAAGGCAGTCGAGAGCTAAGATTGGAGGCGGACGCGAGTTGTGACAAAGAAACAGGTCCGGGCTGCCGCGATTGTCACAGGTCCGGGCTGCGGCGACTGTCATAGGGTCGGAACGAGACAGTTGGCTAGAATACCTAGCTGCACCTTCTGACGGTCAAATGGAACCCGACACGATGGGGCCACAACCGATCATGGGCGAAGCGGGAGAGGAGTACAGGGCATCGCCCGATCGAGCACTGAGGGATCTGAAGGAACGAATTAGGCAAAAAGCACCGCTGAGATGGGGCGACCAAACCAATGACGGAGGACCCGACATGAGAGGCGAACCCGCTGCGACAGAGCTGCAGGAGGCTCTAAAGACGGGTACCTCGAGCGGACGACGAGAAGCGACGAGACGACGCTCCCCCGAGTACGAGCAGAGGAGGGACACCATAGCAGACAGGTACAGAGACGACTGGAGAGAGAATTTGAGGGATTCCTACTGGAGGGATAGAGATAGAGACAGGGCGCCGCCTAGGCGGGTCTTCGACCCCCAGACAGGGGTGTCACATCCGCTCCCTTACGAGAGCAAGGACCGGTATATTATTACGCACAAGGTCTCAGAGCCTCCTGCCTTCAGGGGTTATGGTATCACAGAATATCTCGAGAAGTGGGAATTTCACGCCAGCCGGAGTCAGTGGTCGGAGGAAGAGATTATAGAGAACTTCCTATTTAATGTGGACCCAAGTCTCGGTAGGGAAGTTAAGGAAGCTCGACCGAAGGATGGCAAATGGACTACGTACAAGAAGAACCTCGTTGAGCTTTACAAATTGGAGGATAACAAGTATTCCATCAAGGACCTTGAAACAATGACTCAAGATGAAGATGAGAGCGTACGGGCATTTGGGATGCGTTTCCAAAAGATCTCCGACGTGCTGATGAAGAAGGGRAAGATCTCAGAGGTCGAGCGGTGTACTATCTTCATCGGACACTTGTCCAAAGGTAGGCAAAAGAGTATACTTAGAGATCTTCCGCGCGACAGACTTGATTTCCCATAAGTTTTAAAGCTCGCGATAAAGGCAGAGGCAGACGATTACAAGGACTTGGTGTGGAGAGGGATGAGGAGACGTGACTTCTCTCTCTACAAGGAGTATGCCGCTGATAGATGTCCTGATTTCAAGGACTATCCTAGTCGGAGAAGAATGAGGCCGTAGTTGAGGAAGTGAAGGAGATACGGGACATGGTGAAGGGATTGACAAGACAGGTTATGGAGATTGTGACCGCCACATGGGTCACGGCCTACCGGGACAAACCTGGAGGGCCCTATTCGCTTCACTGGGACCGTAGGAACAACAATCCCTGGAGGAGTGTCGAGGATAGAAATCCTCGGACGCTGACTGATTATCGAACGAGGGGAGGAGAGAGAGACGATGAGCCATGGCGACGTAGGGACGATGAGATAGACCGAGACCGCAGAGATCGCGAGTCGTTTGTGCGAGCAAGGAGGGTGGATGATCACTCGCGAAGCCCTCGCTATGAGGCCGATCGGGGTAGAGGCGACTCCCGCGGCCGATGGGAGAGGGACGACAGATACGAGAGACCGGACCGGGATGGATATAGGGGCGACAGATACTAGAGGTCGGGTCGAGATGGCTACCGAGGAAGTAGATATGAGAGAGGAGATTGGGACTGGGAACGACGAGACAGGTCGCGCGGACGGTTTGAGCGCGGGGGAGATGCGAGAGAGCAGCGTGACGAGTTGCGGGGATGGTACAACCGAGGGAATCGCCGGGATGATTTGCAAGGGCGATATGACCAAGGAGGGTCTGATGGAGACCGGCGCAACGACTCGCGCAGTTGGAATGAAAGAGGTGGATATGGTGTCTCATCAGAACCATATCCAAAGTCGCCTGACCCCAACGAGGCCAGGAATTCGATGTCTAGAGGCGCAGACGACAGGGCGTCTACTCCCAGGAACTCATGCGTCTATTATAGAGGAGAAGATCATATCAAGAGGGATTGCCCGGACCTCAAACGGGCAATAGAAGAGGGACTTGTCGTGCTTGACGACCGCAAGTACGTCAAGTGGGCAGATGATCTCGGAGATGTATCGATGTTCCTTTCGATGAAGGAGAATGTCGAAGCAAGGAGAATAAAGACGAGTAAAGGAATGGAGCCGGTCAGGAGCCAGAGCATCAAGATAACCTTTGAGGGGGACATGGCGACTACAACCATAAGGGTGGCAGCCACCAAGTCGGCGAGAGGGTCTACATCAAAGAGAACTGACATGGATTGCGTGATGGCGGAGAAGGACGGACAGCGGGTCGATGGAGAGGAGGTTATCCTTTTGCCGCGAAAGCGGGGAGTCAAGAAGTTCTTAATGAAGAGTTCGCTAGACGAGGTTGACACGGTCGAGCCACTGAGGCGGGTCCTTCGGCAACCCATGCAGTGCTCTATTCTGGAGTACCTGGCGGCATCGTAGCCAGCTCGTGATGAGTTACAGCTGATCACGAGGAAGACCCGCATTCCTCTATCGGAGGAGGGTCAGGGGCCCCTAAGGCGGAAGCTTCTATAGTAGCAGTAACGGGAGTGACCGCCAGAGTGGATCGCATGGCGACAGTCCTTCTTGATGGAATGAAAGGTGTGCCTCCAAACAAGTTTTATATACTTGGTAGCAAGGCCGTGGAGACGATTATAAACGATGGAGCGGTACTCGATGCTGTGATTGATAACGGCAGTGAGGCTGTCATCATAGACGAGGACCTGACGGTGCAAGTTGGACTGGGCCTCGATAGGTCATACCTATTCGAGATAGAGACCGCTGATGGGAGAAAGCAACAGATCACTGGGGTTTGTCACAAGGCAGCCATAAAGGTCCAAGAAGTACGAGTGACCCTGCCTGTCTTTGCAGTCAAGAACTGCAGCTCCGACCTGCTCTTGGGTCGAACGTGGCTGAGCCACGTGCATGCGGTGACGATAGAGCGGCCTGATGGGAGCCAAACATAGTCCATTAAGAAGCCAGACGGGACGCGGGTGATGATTGAGACAGTGGAGCCTCGGGACCCGAGGAACAGAGCAGCTCTAGCAGTGGGTGCAAAAACCGGTGATCAGATTAAGTCGTTGCCTATCTCCAGCCGCGCGGGGCGATTTCGCGAAAAAAAATATGGACCATTGCTCACAGAAGAAGAAGGTCGGATGGTGGAGGTGGAAGACTTAGGGGGTTGGCTACTAGTGGGCGGCAACTCGTACCAAAAAAAAAATGATGAGGAATTTGGCGGTATGGTATCAGTGTCTTTTTTAAGGGCATGGCCCCCTATGGGGGGCTACCCAAACGACACAAACGAGTAGCGCAAAAGGTTAAGCCAGCGGCGGTGGGCCGCGAGCGATCTGCACTAGAAGGGATAACGGAAGAAGAGATCGCAAAAGAAATCAAAGAAAAAAAGAAAAAGGAGCCACAACGCCTAACAAAAGAGAGAATAGCAGGGATGGACATCGGAGATGGAAATTTGACCCTACAGGAGCGAGAACGTGTGATAGAAATCCTGAAGACATGTAATAAGGCCATAGCTTTCAGCGACGCGGAGCGCGGTAGGATTGACCCTCGATACGTTAAGTCAGCTAGGATTTATACGATTCCACATGTTCCTTGGAATGACGCGGGAAGGAAATACGCCCAGAAGGAAAAGGAAGAAGTTATCGTTTTCCTGAAAGAAAAGATGATTTCCCACGTTGCGGAGTCGTCTGATAACACTTATGCTAATCGATGGTTCTTCCTACGGAAACCGAATGGCAAGATCCGATGGATCCAGGACCTTCAGAAGGTCAACGCGGTGACGATATGAGACGTGGGCTCCGTGACGCACCCCGATTTAATGGCAGAAGGCGCGGCAGGTAGGTCGATCTATTCGGTCTGTGATCTGTTCTCAGGCTATGATGAGGTACCGCTTGACCCTAGGGACAGACACCTCACGGCTATGCATACGCCATTGGGACTAATTCAAATGATGGTTGTCCCTATGGGTTGGACTAATGAGGTAGCCGTTTTTCAGAGAGCCATGGTAGCCGTCCTCAAGGACTTCATCCCTGATAAGGTTGAAGTTTTTCTGGATGACTTTCCTGTAAAAGGGTCAGTAGACAGGGATGAGACAGAGGTTATACCTGGAGTTAGAAGATTCGTCGAGCAACACCTAACAGACATTTGCGCGGTACTCGAGCAGCTCGACGATGCTAATTTGACAGTCAGCGGAACCAAAAGCCGATGGGCCGTCTCGACTATTAAGATCTTCGGCTTTATATGTGACTCGAGAGGACGCCGAGCAGATCCAGCGAAGTTAGACAAACTCCTGAACTGGCCGTCACCGTTACATAGCCCAACCGAGGTCCGACAATTTCTGGGAGTGGTCGGTTACTGACGTATATTCATATGGGGGTATGCGGAGAAGGCTGAGCCATTGAGGTTACTCCTTCGGAAGACTGAAAGATTCTACTGGGATTCTTCGCAGGAACTCGCAATGCAAGGACTTAAAGACGAATTTAAGGAGGGAGGACGCGTGTTGGGCGTGCCATTCTTTGACGATGAGACCGAGAGACCCTTCATAGTATCGACGGATGTTGGACCATGTTCAGTGGGTGGTTTGCTGTCTTAGAAGGACGCTGGAGGGAAGGAAAGACCGTTAAGATTTGACAGTAGGGCACTCAATACGGCTGAGCGTAACTACAGTCAATTCAAGAAGGAGGTGCTAGCTGTTCTCCGGTAGACACGTTCAGACACTATATCTATGGGCGACGGTTCATTTTGAGAGTAGACCCCACCGCGGTTGCCTCTGTCCTCCAGAAGGACTTTAGTCTGACGGACCCGGCCATCGCCCGATGGTTAATACGGATTCGGTTATACGATTACACGGTCAAAAGAGTATCTGGTACGAAGAATGCCGTGGCAGATGGACTTTCACGCATCCCTCTCGAGCGTCTGATAGTAGCTGGGACTCTGATAATGGCAGACCCGAGGCGCGCCGAGAGATTTTTAGTTAATCTTTACGAGGGCAAGTACCGAATGATCGGGCTACACCTGATGGGAGAAGAGAGTCAAGATTCAGATATCCGAAGGCAAGCAGCCCAGTACTGCCTTAGAGCGGGCCACCTTTTCCGAAGGCCAGTAGGGTCAGGAATGCCCGTACGAGTAGTCTGTGACCCTAAGGAGAGACAGACAATAGTTGCGGAACTTCACGACTGGGTAGTCGGAGGACACAGGGGAGTCAAGGGAACCTACGAAAAGATACGCCGACTGTACTGGTGGGATGGACAGTATAAGGACGTCAAGAGGTACTGTATGACATGCGAAGAGTACCAGAAGAGAGCTCTTGTGAAATACAAAGAGCCACTTCATCCATCCTATCCGACCAGACCAGGAGAGAAGACACACATCGATCTAGTGAAGATGCCGAGAGAGGTAGGGAATATGAATTACGTCGTGAAGATACGAGACGATTTCACTGGGTTCGTGGACGGTAGACCTATCAGGAGTAAGGCGGCAAAGGAAGTAAAGAACTTTGTCCT